AGAGCAAGGTGTGCAGGACTCTACCCCTTGGCAGACAAAGTCTGCTCTGACCTAGACCTAACACCTGTCAGTCTCATTCTGTTTTGTCATTAAAAGATCTAAGAAAACTCATGCTTAACATTTAATGACAAACCACCAGCACTATTAACTCTTCTTCCTTAAAACAAACAAACCCCAAGAACTCCTAGACAAATACATTATTATTATTGGACACTGAAAAAACAAAAAAAAGCCTCACATTCCCAAGCTGTATCTCCAGTTCCACACCTGTTACAATGTTCCTCAATAACAGCTAGCATTTTTACTGAAAAATTCTGTTCCTAACAACACATTCTGTGTTCAGAGTCAACACGTCCAGATTATTAGGCAAATCAAGATTTACCTCGACAGATGTAAACATTTTTCTTATCTAATATGACTTATCACACCACTTCAGATTAGATTAGCTAAAATAATTTACACTGCTTCAGGAACAGCTACATAATCCATATGGATACACACATTATCATTGTCAGACACACCATGCCAGAACTTCCACTGACTTCACCAAGAAAATGTGTGTTCCTACACATTAGCCTTTCAAACTTCAGCACATAAACACCAGCCACATTTGAAACATCTAAATGTATTCTTCACACATCTGAATGTAATTGCTGATGGTGCCTATTTTTTTTTTTATTTTGATGGCAGAAGATAAAATCTAACTGCTACTAGTTAAAGTAATCCAAAGTTGAAAACAAGTATCATTACTGCTTCTAAACCATTGATAAGAAGCTAGAATTCCTAAAAACAAATCACACTTCTTCATGTAACACTTCTCAGTCAGAACTGCCAAAATTATGGGCATGCTATTACCAAACATAAAATCATACTTACATTTCGATTAAATTTTGTGAAGGAATGATGCATATAAAACCTGTGCATGTAAACAATTGCAGTATTTATGGTAAGCTGAGATCTGGAAGATTAAATGAAGGAAACACTACATATGAAGAAAATGGTCTACAAGAACTGAAAGCGATGCGCTTTCCATATCAATCACTGCTCTCAACATATTGTCTTCAGCCGAAAATGGATTAGGGACGTGACACTTCAGAACTGATATTACCACATCCTTAACTGGTATTAACACGTATCGTTCCCATCTGTGTCGCAGACCATGTGGAGATTCCTACGCCACGCTCCCCACAGTCACCCACGGAATGAAAACTCCTCAATGGGCGACATCCACGGAAACACTCTCAAGTGCTTTTGTTTTGTTCAACTATTCCAGTAAGGGATTTGAGGGTTTGGCCTTGCCCTGATCGATTTTTTTTTTTTTCCCCTTTAAAAAATCACATTACAGAACGGCTGAGGAGGAGTTGCCCGTTTCGGGGAAAACAGCAACTCGGGTTTACTTCAGAAAAGCCGCAGCAAGCAGCTCCGGCCACAGCGCGGCTGGGAGGGCAGGTGGGGAGCCGAGTCCCTCAGCGCCGACAAAGAGCGCGGCGCGGGGGCTTCGCCAGGCTCCTCCTCCCATTCTGTGCCTCAGGCCACGGCTCCAGCCCGCGGGAGCGCCGGCCGGGGCTGGGAGCAGCGGCAAGGCTCCCGGGGAGAGCTCCCACACCAGGAAAAAGGTCTCCCGCCGCCCCTCCACACGCGGCCCCCGCCGCCCTCGCGCCCGTCCCCGCTCGGATACACGTTGAGGCGCTGGCCCATGTCTTGGATGAGGTTGGCCGCCTGCTGCCGGTACGAGAGCTCCTTGTCGGCCTCCACGCCGCAGCGCCGCGAGGGCGTGTTCTCCAGCTGCTCGCGGCTGAAGAACCAGCGCGACGCGGCCGAGGAGCCGCCGCCGCCCCGCGCTGCGGACCCTGCGGAGCCCGCGCCCGCCGCCGCCATGACACCTCCTCCTCCTCCGGCGCCTCCTCCCGCCGCCTCCATCGCGGCTCTCGCGAGAGCTCCCGGGCCCGCGCGCGCCCTCCGCCATAGAGTCTCGCGGCGGGGCGGCCGCGCGCCGGGCGGGGTCACGTGGGCTGCAGGGGTTGAGGGAGCGGCCATGGCGGCTGCGGGGTGAGGGCCGTGAGGGGAGCGAGCTGTGGAGGAGCTTGGAAGGGAGCTCTGAGGTCATCCGGTCCTCACGCCAGCCCGGCACCGCCATTGTAACCCCGCTAAACCAGTGAGCCCCATCGCCCCGTGCCCCGGTGTAACGCCTTGAACACCTCCCGGGATGCTGACTGCGCCAGCTCCCTGTAGTGCCTATCCCATTGCCTGACCGCCCCAAAATTGTGTGTCTATTTCCTACCATAATTCAAATATCTAATCTCAGTCTGGACACCTTTATGCTTAAGTGAAATAAAGGAGAAAAAATGTTAGAAGCAAGGATTCCTTTTTTTAATGCAAGCAAATCACAAAACAGCCTACTTGGAGGAAGATGTGGAAAGGGAGGAAGGAAGGAAAGATTTGGAATGCACAACTAGGTCCTAGAAAATTCCTGTCTGCTGGAAGAATAAGCTTGTGGACACTTGAGAAATGCACAAGAAAATGATGAATGATTAGGAATTGTGTAATTGCAGATGAGCAGCTCCAGCATGTCAGTGTGCAGGTTGTTCTCACTGGGCACTCCGTGTTCAGGGATGGAATTTCAGCCATGGTTTGAGTTTATGGATTCAGGGTTCAAAGGGTGCAAAAAGGTATTTAAAGTTCTGATCTCCGTGCATGAAAATGAGAGCTCCGAGAGTTCTGCTCATGTTCAGTACGTGCCACTGCCAGTCTGCAGTGGTTTTGTTCACCTGAAGTTACATCACAATTTCCTTTACAACTTCAGTGCCAGGTTTATACAAATAGTTGAAATCTTAGAACTAGACCAAACAGAATACTGATGAAATATACAGATGTATATTGCAGAACAGATGCCAATTACTTGCCTGACCTTCCCAAATGTATATCTTCTTTAAGATATACATTTCTATACTTCTTCTAAATGTATATCTTATCTCCTGCATGTGCAGAGGAAATTTAACCTCAAAGACTTCTCATGTGATTAGCTGATCTTGGACTTCATATTTGTGTGTCTGTAACAATCAAGGCACAATGTTTTACCTCATTGTTTAAATCACTGTGTAAAGCTCATGGAATTTGGGTATTCAACTTAGATTCTTTATTCCTGCAGTAATTGGTGGAAGATTATTAAGAATGTTCTCATCTGACTGCAATTAGAATTTTACATTAGCTTTGTTAATGAAACGAAAAGATGGAGGGAAGATTATATATATCCCTGTCTTAAAAATCTTAACATATCAAGAATAGGTAGAATATCATTAAATAATGACAGTGCATAATGGATATGATTTATGCAGGGTATGCACATTAATTAACTCCCATGCAGGGTGCTGCAATCACCCATTTAGTCACAGGTTAAAGTAATTAATACAGTTCTTGCTATTGGAGAGGTTCCAGACCTTGGTCCCCAAAGATGTGACATTGCATTTTCATTAACTTAACTGGTTTAATTCATAAAAAATTGAATAATTACTCCAATTAAAGTGTATTGGAGGAATCACAATGTATTTTCCTCTTAAATCCATTTAAACATCTGTGGGAATCATGTATACTGAAGGGAAATATGAGAATGAAATTGCCTTTTGACTCTGAAATTTAATTAAAACAATCTGGTTGAAAAATCATACACGCTGAAAACTCAATGCCTGTATATGGATATTTAAATTAAATTAACAGAAGTCTTGTGAATCTGAGGACAATAAATATTGTTAAAGCTATTTTCTGGCTCTTCTTTTCCTCTTACATAAAAAATTGATATTCTAAATCTCTGAGCTGCTGACTAATTAAGCTCCAACTACTTCACAAACCACTTTTTTTTTTTTTTTTTGGGTGGGTTGGACACTGTAAAGAAGGACAGAGCTGTCTTTGTTGTCCAGCGGAGGCTGGGATCAGCAGGAACTGCTGATGTTCAGCATCCTTCAGGTTCAGCCCGTGACAGCTATGGCCAGAGCTAAAAACAACTTCTGTCTGATATTGTTTTGCCTGGAATGTTCCAAGACTGAGCAGAGGAACGGTGACACCACACGTAGCCAGCCAGTGTTCCCACAAGAACAAAGACTAAGTGCTAATTTGCATTTTTCTGACTGGTACACAGTTCTCCTGGGAGGAGGATGCCTGTGCACTCACTGGATAATGATGAAAACCTGTTTCAATTAATAGTCTATAAAGCAAACCACCTTTCCATTCCTATAGCAGGACTCAAGCTAGGGAGAGCTTTAGCACTTCAAATTTAAACTATTCAGCCTTACTTTTAGGAAGCATTTTGTAAGGAATAGAACACTAACCCATACTGTTGCCAAACACTAGTATTTATTGTGACAGTGACAGTAATACCCACACAAATACATTATTTCTGCACCTACAACCATATTGTTCAAATTGTTTCTGATGAATAAGTTCCCAGTGCTGTAGGTGGCAGCTAATATGTGAAGTCCCCACACAGACCTTTTCCATCCTGTCACAACATTGAAAAAGCACGAGTGCACCTGCACTGCTGAGCTGAGTGTGGTGGGCTGTGTTTTCCACCAGGGGATGAAAGCAATTGTTGCCTTTTATTTGGCATCAACGTTGTTTAAATTCTGTTTTAATATTCTTTCAAATTCTGTTTGGTCGCCATAACAAAGACAGAAATGTAGGGGGTATATAATTTTCTCAGCTTGTTCCTTCCTGGGAATCAAGTCATAATAACATGGCATTGATTATAATTCAGAGGTTCTTATAACTCCAAAAGATTAAATTTCTCCTTTATTATGAAAGCAGGGATTTCAGAATTGTTTAAAAAACAGCCTAAATCCTCAGGCAATACCTGTGCATACTCATTTCCAGTACCCTTGCTTTTGTTTTGGAAATAACAGGAGACTTTCTGATAATTGTCAGTTTTATTTTTCATCTGCACAATTGCACATGCCAATAGAAATACAAGGATATTATTGCCAAAGTTTAGCTGCTTTAGTACTTCATAATTATTCAAATTGTTTTCTGCTAAGACCCAAAAATTCCAGAGCATTTCCAGCCTTGAGTTTATCCTGTAAAAACAAAACACATACATGTGTTTGTGCTTATCTCATATTTAACTCAAATGCTTTTACTTGTGCTTTAAAAGGAGCTGCTGCAAAGAGACTGAAGGGTCTCTTCCAGTCTTTGCAGAAATCAGTGTACTACACTGATTTTTCAGTGTTTTATCTCATGTCTCGGACAGAGACTTAAAAAGAAGGGAAAATGCCTCAAATGTAAAAATCATACCTTCAGTTTATAGTCAAAATCATCCATTGAATCAATCAATTTTCCAGGTTCCAGTTCTCCAAGTGGAAAAGGGTAATCTGTCCCCAAAATAACTTTGTCCTGGAAATAAAAAAGAATTGTACATTTTGTAGTAACATTAAACAATACAGTTTAAATAATATGGATATTAATACTTACAGTATTATAGTAACATTAATATTATATTTTAAACTAATAAGTTTTAATTTTTTCACATTTTAAATTTCTTTTTAATTAACATTAAACAGTAGAGCACATGCTTTCTGGAATGTATCATGAAGTACAAGAAATTAGATGTATATATTGGACTAGTTAATTATGAAAGTGAATATGAAGATCATAACTTCCAACAGGAAAAGAACAAAGCTTGAAAACAATGACTCAAGAGTTTTTTGGATGAATTTTATTTAGAAAAAAATGCAGGATATTTATTAACAATTTTTGTGGTATCTAACTGAAGTTATGGTATTTTAATTCTCAGAAGCAGAAAGCTGAAAATGCAAATCCCAGGCCTCTGGCATGAGTGTCTATTGCTTGAGTTAGAATTTGTTATGATGTTTAAACTCTGTTACCAGAGTTCAGTACTGAAATGAAAAAAATCATTCAGTTATTATTTGAAATGGTTTTTCTTTTTGTCAAATGCTTTTAAAAAATTTTTTTAATCTCCACTAGATGTCACCCAAAAATCTCTGAAAGAGCCTACACAAACCTTCGCCCAAAATCTAAACAGAAGAGACACATTCTATTGTTCTCTCATATGTTCTGTCCTGTGTTCTAATTTATTATACAAGAATTAACATAAGATTAACATAGGAAAATTTATACCCTCTGTCTAATAAATCCAGTTCTGAGCATAGACTAAACAAAATAGATTTGGATGTGTGTACTTTGAAGGAACTAAATATATTCTTTTATTTATAATATTCAATACCAAGATGCTTTATTCCCATAAGAAAAACAAATGTCATGTATTTTATGATGAAAAAACCCAACTAAAAAACATACCAGGTTTATATGAGAAAGTGTTTTTTTAAGTAAAAGAAAAGAAAACATAGAATTTGTCCATCTGTTTACTAGGGAAGGTCATGTAAGACAGGAAGGTTTGTATATTCTTATTTACATTTCCTACATACTAAACCAGAAATAAATCCCACATCCTCACTGCCATAATATATATTTTTCTTTTCTCTCTATGCAGATATATTTTTTTCCCTCTGTTTGAAAGTACTTTACAGCTAATAATGGGATCTATTAATTAATAGTAAAATTTAAGAACTGTAAATCAGTAAGAAAAATTTAGAAGCAGCATTCTTGCTGTGCTCCCAGTGATCTTGGGCTGTTCATTTGTACCCTTTGAGCTTAGTTTTGTACCCATCTATAAAATGGGGGTTGCAATACCTGTCTTTAGCTACCAGCTTCAGAGGAGTGCTGTGAAGCCTCTGCAGATGAATAATGCTCCTAGCATAACGGGAGTACTGTTATATTGCTCCAAACTATATCAACAAAGTCAATTTTCCCTAGAAGACTTGGAGGTCATTTCCTTAATTAGCACATCTCTCCTATTAGAGAGGAACATGGGGCTAATGATTAACCTCAGTGGACCCTGCTACTCAGCACAACTTTTTTCACAGTAATAAGGACCTAAATATGAAAATTAATCTCAGAAAGCTTTAAGCATGACTTCATCCTCTTACATAAGGAAAAATAGTATTTGCCTTGAATTTTGCCTTCCTTCCTACTGCCATGATGCACCTGAAAAAAAGTCCAGAATGCTGGAGTCAGTTCAGCTCCAACTTCTGGCCAGAGAGTGCTTTGCCTTTGGATGATGACTCTGGAGGAATCACCATGGGGAAGTTTTTGCAGAGATGCACTGAATCATTTAATCCCATGTCAACCCAGTTCTTCACTTTTTATAGCCAGCAACGTTGGGGACTTTGTGTTTATTTGTATTCACCTCATGCTACCTCATCACAGGGGGAGCAAAGGACTGCAGCAATTCTGTGCTCTTACAAAATTCTTTCTCAGGAGTGTGTATTTCTGCTTCCATCCCCAATTAACCTGCACCCCAAACTAAGAAGGGATGAGATTAAATGGACACGGCTCATCACAGCTGTCAGTGGATTTTATCTCTGATCAGCTCGAGGCCAGCACGCCACGCGCTGGTGCCAGGCAGTGGCTGTTCCCCAGGGACCCAAAGCCATGTCCAAGCACATCTTCCCTAACATTGATCCCTTCCTGCACAGCTCAGAGCTGTTCTCTGGAGACCTGGCCTATTTCAAACCTGCAGCTCACAAAGTTACAGTGTCAGCCTCAAGACTCCATCACATTGTTTTTAGCCCAGCATTTATATGTGTTACTCTGCCAACACATCTCTGCACTGAAAGCACTGAGATATTTGGTGGTTCTTTAAGCATTTGACTCATGGAGGGGTGTTATGTGAGAATGTCAACTTTCCTTAGAAAAAGAGGGAACTTTTTAATCTTCATGGTTATAAAGTTTGAAATCGTGATGTGAATGTTTTTGTTTTCAAGGACAAGATGTCTTAGGCTATTGAAAAGAGAAAGTTCTCCTGAGTGTAAAAAACATGTTTTTGATATCTGACTCATGACTTCTCAGCACTGAGATTGCACCTGATATCACATTGTTTGAGCTCAAAATACTCAGAGGAGAATTAAAGAAGACACCAACATCCTGTGTACTATCCTGGCCAAATTTTTGTGTTAAGACTTTTAATTTTAATAGTCTGTTGGCAAAATAAATAAGACACCAGAGAGGCTAATGCTGAGTGACTTTTAGATTATCAAATTACAGTCCATAATCTTTCTCTCCTCAAAATTCCAGTTGCAAAGACTAATCACAATTAAGGACCAAAGTCTATGTGTAGCTTCTTAGGATGAAAAGTAGAGAAATTAAAGTGTAGTGCAAAGACAGCAGCTTTCCCACAACAGCAATAATTTAGAGCAGCCTTGAGATGCAAAACTTCTGACTTTAAAGCAGAAGCACCCTGAGACTTGTGTGTTACACAAGTTCAGACAGAAAAAACCTTCAATTCTTCAGCAATGGATTCAGCATCCTGTTGTACTTTCCCTCCTGATTTGCTTTTGTCATCTGCAGTTCAGCTTAACAGATTCAGAGCACAAAAAGAATCTGTGGTCTCAGGCAGCCTGAGTCACACAGCTGCTGATTTACCAAGGTCTTTCTAACAATTGCAAAACATGTCTCCCAACATTTTAAAATGGGTAAAAGGAAATGAGTGATCTTTTCTCCTTGCAATGGCAATTTAAAACTCAAGAGCTAGACTCATCCTTGTGTACTAAAACTGCATGTACAAAGAAAATATACTTAGAATGAACATGGTCTGGATTTGGGGAGATTTCTCAGAAAACGAGGTAACAGAGGCAAGTGTTGAGCTGTTACTCCATAAAGCCTTTGGGTGTCTTGTAGAATGGACATGCACATCACACACAGTAAAATTTTAAAATCTATGGTAAAAAACACCTTAAAGCCACTTGCTTTAAGCTACAGTTGATTCAAAAGATAATGCATATCAAAAACTACTGGGCTGTGGACTGTGATGTGTTTGCTATTTAGAGGTTGGTAACAGAAATTAAAAGAAATCAGTATTGGGTGGGAGCCCTAGTATTTTGTTAGTAACCCATCTGGTACCTAAAATTAATCCCTGCCACAGAGATGGCAAATGCCACCTGAGTTAATACCCACTGATGTTATCAGAACTTTCCAGTACTAACATCTTATTTCAAATCTTTTTGGAGTAAATTGACCTGGGTTTTATCTTATGTGTTTCTAATGGAAATAGGCTCCATGGCAGCCTTTTTGCATGTTTTATGGGGCTCCTTCCATAAATCTATTTTTGGTTCAGCGTGGTTTAACGAAAAAGATGTTGTCTTCACTCCTTAGAGCTGCAGTGTTACGGTATTGTACAAACATATACATGTACAAAAAGTTCCATACTATTGTTTCAAGCTGTAGTTGTGCTGTCACATGGCTGATTTTCTACAAATCTTCAAATGCAAAGTTTTCCTAAAAGGCACAAGTCCTGCAGGGGAGCTGCAGGCAGAACTCCAGTCCCAAAGTTACAGACTTCAGGTGCAACATCAACTGAAAACCCACAGATTTTAATGTGTGATACCTGAGCTCAGAGTACCACAGTAAAGAAAGCAATAGTGCTGCATTGCTATTTTTGTCTGGCCCAGGCAAGTCACTTCTGTACCTGTTCTACAGCAGATTTATTGCAGTAACCTGCTCAGACTATTAGAAATGGGAAATGAACAGATTATTTTTTGTAGGAAAAACCCCAATCAGCTGAGTGGTGTTTGTGAACTTTGGTCATACAGAGGCCCTGATGACAGCAACAGCCCCATACTGTGTGAGTCTGGACACTGATGTACTGGAAACAGGACTTGTTGAGACAAGAAAATCCCTGTCAGAGCCTTCATTTCTGATTTGACATCTGGGAGGTATCTGCCTCTGGCTGCAGACACTGTGAGGTGCAGAGATCAAGGCACAAAGACAGGTATCTCATTGATTTGCAGTGATCCATCGGAAGCTGGCATGAGGGATGCCATCTTCAGTCCTCTCCTGAGCATTTACTAAATGAGAAGGGATTATTTGAATGTTTTAAGATTTTTCTGTCCCATGCTGTACCTCATTTAAAAGGTTTGCTAAACTATAAAGATTTCTTTACAAACAACTAAAATACTTCTGCAAACCCATAATGTTTAATTGTTTCTCTGAGATACTCACAAAAGCTTTCCTTATTATTGATTTTTTTCTGTCTATAACTTCCCAAGTGGAAATACAATTTGATTTCTTCAAGCATGCACTTGAATTTGAAAATTAAGCCATTTGAAATCAGACTCCAAATTGAAGCAGTCTTTTCTTGAAGTCCTATCCTGAACAAGCTCAGAGAAGGATGGAACTGAGGTCGACAGTGCATGATTTCCTGGATTAAACCCACCATTTTAATAAATCCATAGGCTAAAAGCATTATCAATATGGCAGAAGCCCATCAATTTATTTCACTGGGTGACACTGTCTTCTTCCTTCTTCCTTCTTTCTTTTTCTCTTCTCCTTTTGCTGTTTCCTGTAAAATTAACTGAAGAATGACTCACCCACTTCTAGAAGCACTAAAACTCACCTCTCCTACTACACTTGTTAGCAGCCTTAGTGCCCCACGGTCGTGGACAAGAGAGTCTGTGTAAAATGAGCCAAGGTATTTTCTTGGATCCACCTTGTTATCCATGGCACACAAATCAGGGCGCACGTTGAAGCCATGGGAGATTCGACCCACTGTGTATGGAAAAGCTCCTCCTGCAAGAAGGAATTGTTAATAACTTTTAATAAGCTGAAAATATGTAAGAGGGAAAAAAGACACCTTATCAACAAAGATCCATAAGTTTTCCTGACAGCTCTTTAGAAAGAAAGTGCTTTGCACCAGTGGTTTTTTTATTCTTTTACCTTCATTAGCTTCTGTCTCTGTTTTTCTCACTTCTTCACTACTGTGATGCCCAAATTCCTCCTGCTGCTTTCTTAAGGTCCCTTTCCTTAAACCACCTGCTGCCTCCCCTTCCTTTTTGTTTTCCCTTAACTGTTGTACCAGTTCAAGCCCTGCAGGCTAGAGAGTGTTCATAAAAGCAGCTGATCTGTCAGACTGTTTTCTTTGGGGTGACACTGCTCAGCTGGTGGCAGGCTTCATGTGGTGACCCCATTAGCTGAGATGCCAGAAAATACAACTGTGCCATGCTCAGCCAAAGAACAGGAGTTTCACATGGTACACTACTCACCTCCATGTGCAAAGCAAACTTTCAGCTTAGGGAATTTTTCAAAAATTCCTCCCATAATCATGGAGCAAATGGCCATGGTTGTTTCTGTTGGCATGCCTAAGAAGAAAAACATCTTAATTGTATAAGAGCTTTACTTTTTAAACTTCCTATTTGATTTTTAAATGTTGTTTTAATTTTCTTCCATTAGCCTTGAGCCAACTGAAAAAGTGATAGTTGCAGGACAGCTGCCAAAGGTCATGCATTATTTCCACTGGAGGGACACAGAGTTGAGCTCTAATTAACTGAAAGGAAGACACAGGCTTGGAAGTGAAGGTGTTCTGAATTCTAAGTACAGTTCTTACTCCATACCATTAGGACAGATGGGTATATAGACAGGTTGGATATGTCATGAGATACCCTGTACAGGCCTGATTCCCATTATCCTTGCTCAAAAACAAGTATGGAATATGCCACGGTGTCTTCTCACTTCTGCTTGTAGGTTTCTTTTGTGTGGAAAGTGGAGCAGATATGTTAATGGATATTCCAACATAAATTTGGGGTTTGGTTACCACATGATGCCAGATCCTACAGTTTAGAACTAATCTGTCTCTCTCTTTGCTCTTGGTTGAGCTGGATGCTCAGTTAGGAAGAGAATAGGAATTTAGGTTCCTAAGCAGGCCTCAGCTTCTGATCACACCCAACATATTTGGCAGAATATCATGCCATTTTAAACACCCAGCTTCAGACATGCAGCTTGAAATCAGGAACTGAGTTCCCCTCATTTATGGGGGAAACAACACCTATCAGCTCAAAAGGTTATTTTTATTATGTTTTACCATATGCTCAGATGCAAAGCATTATTAGGCTTAGTAAGAAAATATTCTATTTTCACTTTTTTAAGTAAATGCAATAATTTTATTCTCTTCTTAAATCTGTGTTTTTGAGCCTGATCTGATTAAGACTAACTGATACGTTTTCAAGACAATGCATTAGTGATTGGGACAGCAAGATTTTCCAAGCAGAATGTGTATTGTATATATGTTGTGTATGTTTTTCAGAACTGGTGGTAGTGCAAAACCATGCAAAAAAACCCCAGCACAAAACAAAATGCATGAGGGTAGAATCAGGTCTCAACATTTCTGGGTAGCAGAATAACCATGCTGCTGTTATTCAGTGTTATGATTTACCTATCAAATGGGGAAAAATGGAAACTTGATAATACCCCACATCTACTGAGAGCTTTCAAAGTACATGTCTCAGCTACAGCTGATGTAAAGTTAGATTTATTTCCTCTCTGATCAACCTGTTTCTAAGAAATAACCCAAGAAATTCTAGGAAAAAATGGTTTTGCTTACTCCTTCATTTCCTCCTGTTATTTTTGAGGAGCTAGTTTCTAAGATGATTCACTTCTTCCTTGTTATCTGCTCCTTGTTTTAGGGCAAAAGAGAATACTATATTCTGTTGCTAGTCTGAATAATTTTAATTCTAAGTGTTTAAAAGAAAAGCTAAACAAGCTTAGAAACAAATTACTGCTGAATTTACACAACAGACTTAATCACAATACTAGATTAAAAAAAAATTTGACAGAAAAAATATGTAATTTTCTCTGTACTTGTACTTTACTTAGCAGCAATCTCCTGGGCATAATCCAGTTCATAAATGTAAGTTAAGCAAAGTAAATATACACTACCTATTAGCCAGGGAAACCAGTATTTGGACATCCTTCCATCTATCTGCATGTCCCAGGGATGCACAAAGAGACAGCAATTTAATTTCTCAGCAGCCTGCAGCAAAAAGAAAAGTGTAAATCTTGACTAACCATAGCAAAATGCATGTTAGATCTTAGTAATTCTTTTCAATGACCTGCAAATCTGTACTGAGCAGTAGTACTAGTAATGAAAATAGGCCCACAAGTAAGAACTATAATCAATAGTTGGCTATATTTACTCCTCTGGGCCATATTCTGAAGTCCTCACTCAGTTTCACAGCTCTTCCTGTGACTACAGGACTGGAAGCATAGATGAGCATAGATCTCTTTAGTGAACCAAGTGTTTAGTGAACCAAGTGATAGAATCATTTGAGAATGGTTTTGCAGAATTTTTCCAGCTACATTCAGAAATTTTGAGTTGCACTACATTTGTCCCCTTTGGCCCTCTGCCTGGCTTAAAAAAATTTAAAAATATTCCTAATCCTTCCTAAGAATTCAAAATCTGGCTGTATTCTGATCAATAATCCACCTCCACCCAAGTACAGTAATTTTTCCAAAACTACTGACATCTTTGGAAAGGCAAACAGAAGACTAGTGTTGGATGCTGACTCTGACTGTAATTTAACTGTGTGCTTAAATTTAAATACACACTCATCAGAGTCATTCATATGCTTAACCAGGATTTAACAGCTTCGTTTTGTCAGATGTATTTCTGGACAAGCTCTTGTTGCTAAGGAGATTATCACACATTTGAAAAATATGGGTTTATTTACCCATACATGCATAAATAAAAGCTGCAACTTTTGGATCGTGGAGAATAATTGCCATCTACATTTGTAAATTAAAAATAGCAATTCAATAACTGGCGTGGTAGTTTGGCAAAGTTCATTATCCAATATGGCTTAATTTCATAATCTGTATTATCCAGAGATGTTTCTAAAAATGAAAGGGGTTACTTCCTACATGTGTGAAACATAAGCTGAAGGATGTACAGTATAAGAGAGAGATCCCAGAACAAGAGAGGGATCTTAGTAGCAGAGACATGGAGTTATTGGAGAGACTTCCAAGATGATGAAAGGTCTGAGCATCTCTCCTGGGAGGAAATGCTGAGAGAACTGAGACTGTTTGTCCCCTAGAAGAAAAGGTTCAGTAGAGATCAGGCAATTTCAGGTTGTCCAGAGGGATTGTGGAGTTTCCGTCCTTGGAGATTTTTAAAAGCCACCTGTGCATGGTCCTGGGATCTGCCTGTAGGTGGCCCTGCTTGAGCAGGGGGTTGGTTCAGGTGGGCCCCAGAGGCCCCTCCCAACCTTAGCCATGCTGTGATTCCATAAATGTGGGCATCTCCAAGAGCAGATGTTGGTATCTGACTGTATATGGCCATAAAAACAAGCAGTCCAGGTGCTGCACCAACAGAGTTTTTGAATAAATTGAGCATCCTGCAAAATAATCTCCGTGAATCAATTCCAGGCTGACAGCTCTAATAACTTGAGAATCAGATTCAGAATGGACATTGATTAAACCCCTAATTTAGATAAATGACCACCCTCATCTGGATCTCAGGCTATTTAATAAATGCTATCTATTAATTCATTTGATAATCAATACATTTAGTTTGGGAATTTTGGTCCTGTTTACATAGTTCTGTGTGGTACTTTGGTGCTATCTCAGATATCTCTGATAATCTCAGAGGAGTTTATCAATAGGATTGGATACAGTAATTTGAACTCAAATGCAAGCAGTGCAGAAAGGCTTTATTTGATATTGCACTTATCCTCACAAATCAAGGAGGCAGATCTACAGTGAGAACCTGTATAATAAAATAAAATTTGTTATTCATTATTATAAAACATTTTTCAGAATATGCTGTATCATTGCCATTATTCCTATAAAGAATTATCATTTACAATTAAAGCTGAGTCTCTCTGATCACTAAGCAAATTAGAAGACTCAAATGATGATTCAATGCACTCCAAGATATTTTTAGACAGATTTCCATATCACAGAATTCCCCCAAAGAAGGAAAGCAACAGCTACTCACAGCATAAATATCATACAGCTCTGGGGCATTCAGGTCCCATTCATTGACATGAGATCCAATCTGCACTCCAGGAAATCCAAGTTCATTCACACAGCGATGCATTTCCCTCACAGCCAGCTCTGGAGCTTGCAGAGGTAATGTGCCCAGCCCAATAAACCTCTTGGGGTACTTCTTTACTGTAGCAGCTAAATCATTATTTAATATCTGAGCAAGATCTAAAGTGTCCTGAGGTTTGGCCTGGTAAGATATGAAGCAGAGCAGTACATTTAAATATAGTTCTCAAATGTTATCACCTTTGGAAGTTATTGGATAAATGTCATAGCAAACAACTGGTAGGGTTTGAATCCAAGTTTGCTTTACAGTTCTGAATAGCTGGAAAATAGTAGGGCTACATTCTGCCTCGCTTTAAAACCTCTGGGTACAGTTCTGCTTTTTCTCTTGAATATTTTATCAACTGCTGTTGCCTTTACTGCTGAGGATGAGTGCAATAAAGCCCAGGTTGCTGATGCACATAAGTACCTGGTCTTTTGTGTAAAGCAGTCCCCTGGTTTTGTTTATCCCCATGCAAAAATCTCAGTATATAATTTTTAGACATAGCAATGGATATTTACTCTCCAATTACTGGAACTGAAGAAATAAAAATAAGAAATGGAAGATGCTGGAACATGTGAATTCTACAGAGAAAACTTGAGCAAAGTTCTCTAACATTAAGAAGGAGATAACATCCGTAATTCTAATAAGGAAGTGCAATATCCATGCAATCAACCTCCGTTTCCACCACCCCACCACCCCCCCCAATACATATTTAATGGAAAACATTCCCTTAGATACCAGAATAACATTTTGAAGAGATGTTACTAACTAGAAATTCTGAATATCAGTGGTATTATATGTGGGCTTAGCACAAAAGTTCTAAATGCACAAATCCATTTACATATAAGCATCCTGACCTGACATTGCTAAATAGTCAAATCAGAGTACATTGGGAACAACATTTTGCTGTGATTTATCTCCTCAGCCTGTCTTTATTTCTTTGAAGCATTCAAGATCACCACGTGGGGAACATAGGAACTTAAATTTGCTCCTGAATTTTAAGATTCGAAGCATTCTAGGTTAATGAATCCCATGCCACATTTAAAAGAAAGTGGGACAAGGGCACAAATACATCCTTTATGTCTTTTTTTTTTTTTTCCCCTGAGAAAGTACTGATTGATGTCTAGCTTTCATGGAATGTGTACATATATGTCTGCCTACTAACCATGGATTCATGTTGGATATATTTTTTCTCTCCATTTCCAGCTGCCCCCATAAGAAATTCAGTTGTTGTTTTATCTTTTCTCACTGGGTGTGCTCCCATGTGGAGCTTTGCCAGGACATCCTGCAGACATCTTCTCATACCTGAACTCCTTTTTTGCCTTTTCGTTTTCACAGCAGAACAATTCTAGTGTCTGCTTCGATTTGTAGGAAGATGCTTTTGTATTTTAAAAATGTTGCTACATATGAATTACAAAATATGTTATTTGGAACCTACCCAGTAGCTGAACATTACAGGGACTGTGGACAGGACTTGGACGGTGACTCCTGAGTAAGAAAGAGCAAATATTAATGTTTCCTTTTTTATTGTCTGTTTTTGATAAATGTTATAAATAAGAAAGTACTTTGGTTTGAGAGGCAGAATGTAAAAGCTTTAATGATAAGATAGAGTGATTTAACAGTGACATAGAGAATTTTGTTTTTAAATTAAGGATTATGGCAATAAACCTCATAGTGTATCAATTTATTAGGATTCAGATATTTTTGCTAAGTAGAAAGAAAAAACACTACCATATTCATACTAACTAATTATTGAAATTATTGAAATACTACTCTCACATGAATGAAACTGACATTTAACCAACAGAATACACTAAATCAAATTTACTTTGGGGTAAATTTGTCATATCTATTAAATAAATAAATGAATTAGCCCAAAGATAAATAACATGTTAACAACGGTTGTTAAACAATGTTTTCCTAAGTGTTCCCAAAGCTATATTGTGTTAGGTTTCATTCATCTTGTGTCTGGACTACTGAGGTTGTAAATATAAAAAAATCTGCCTGTTTTCAGAAATAACTTTGATTTTAAAAATAAAAAGAATTAACTCCATGTTGTTTTGTTTCTGCTCAAACACAAATCTCTATTATAATATTTTGTGTGACAGGTTACAGGAGTGAAAACAACAAACCTGGCAGACAAACAAAACAAACAATAAAGAGTAATTAGGACTTCACAAAATAGTTATATGCAAAACTGCTTTGTTTTGGTGTTTCTTTAGGTTTGTTTGTAATATTTTTGCACGTATCTTGTCATGCTTAAAAAAATTTAACTTGGTTGTTAGTAGTAAAATTGCTACAACAAAAGATGGCAGAAAAAAACTCCAGGAGAATGAACTCTAGGAGAACTCTAAATGACTTGCCAAAATATTTGAATGATTAAAATGATTTATCCTCCTCCTCAGAAGTTTAAGTAGGAAACAAGATAAGAAGCTGACTCAGATTGCTACAAGATCTGATTAATATTATGTACAGCAACAATGGTTTAGGGGTAAGGATTCAGTCTGCAAAATTACATAAATACTGAATTATCCAAGTTAGATCATCCGCCAATATGAATACTTGATTAGTTTGTGGAGAACAGTATCCAGTTTTCCACAACATCCATTGTATCTGCTTTCAATTTGTATCTGCTTTCAATCCATTTTTACACTTCTGAGCAAATTTAACATAAACCTTAAAGGTACATCTCCAAGCTGACTGTTCCTAGACATTAGCTTTAAGAAGAAGAATCAGCACAGAAAAGCCTCTACTTTTTTACCCTCTTTAACCTCTTTTACAAAGGAGAAAATAACAAGGAAAGGCAGTTAAGACTAACTGATACATTTTCTCAAACAAAATTGTGATGATTTGTGTCACAGAACTGTGATGTTAATTACTTTTACAGCTTGTTTTATTGAGTTACATGGATAGCTTGCTTTATTGAGTGGATCAAGACAGAAGTATGTACATCAATTAGACCTAGGACATATGACTGGGAGAGACTAATTGAGTCTCTTTGGTCCACTGGAGACCATTTCTTATTACTGGCAAGATTTCTTGGGCATTGCACAAACAAAGCCTTTAGCAACCAAGTTATCTCTCTGAGTTAAAAATAACTGTCAGTGACTGATTCTAGTTTTGTTCAGCTGGGAGACTCCTTGTATCTTTGTCCCAAAATTATGCCATGTTTGGAGGTTAAATTTTGGGTATAATCTATCTGAGCCTCTGTAAGAGAATGCAGTCTTTGAACTAAGTAGTTACAGCTTTCTAAACCAAAAAGGAATAAATGTAGTCCACAGTCTTTATCATTAGCTGAACAGTAAGGATGAAAGAATTAAAAATACCAAGACCTTTTTTTCCTCCCCACATAATTAATTGGTTGATGCCTGTATGTCTGGAGTGCTGTAATAAAAAGGGACATTTTTAGGACACAAGTCACCAGATGGTGCTGTAACATACAGGTTTAGATTTTTTTTAACCAAGTGAGCACTGTTTAGTTCATGAAGAAATATTGTGATGCTGCTTTCATGATACATTTTCTTTTCTGGAGAGCTGCTGCAAAAATTTGAAAAAACAATATCCTCCTGTGTTTTCCCTTTGTCTACAACAAATATATGGGGCAGAACTGCTTTGTAGAAACTTGCCATTAGTGCTGAGGGAAATATCTGAAAGAGAAAGATGCCCAAAGGCTATTTGTGATCCACTGTGCAGTTGAGTGATTTGGTAATCCCCAAAATCCCTGAGCTAACTCAGAGAAACATTACAGCCTAGTCAAGTCATGACTCTATGATTCTGTGACAACGCAGCATATTTCAGAGTTTGCAAAGTCTTTTTGGCATTCCCATTAAATGTCTAATGGTTGGAGTTTCAAATACTGCTTTTCCAGGGTGAAAATGAAGTAGATGAAAATTGTATAAATTATATTTACATAAATTGCTCACTACCTGGTGGGTTCTCAAGCTAGCCTATGTTATGTGTTGCATTAAACCTCCCTAAGAAGAATAACCCAGACTATCTCCTAACACAGAATCACAGAATAATTTAGGTTGGAAAAGACCTCTAAGATCATTGATCCCAGCCATGAATCCAGTTCTGCCAAGCCCACCACTGAACCGTGTCCCCAGGCACCACATCTACACATCCTTTTAATCCCTCCAGGAAAGGGGACTACACCCGGACTCTTCTAGGGCTTGACAACCCTTCTAGTGAAGAAATTTTTCCTAATACCCAATGAAAACCTTCCCTGGTGCAATTTCAGGCCATTTCTTCTTGTTTATTATTTGGAGAAGAGCCCAACTCCCCACTGGCTACAAACCTCTTTCATGTGCTTGTCAAGGGTGATAAGGCCTGAGAGGAGGAAGAAATAATCATAAAGATGCTACTTGACCAATATCTGCTCTTTTAAGCAATTCTAGTGTTTGTTCCATATGAAAAGTTGAAGATATTCAAGTTGTGTCCACTGGGAAACTGTTGTAGGAACTATTCAGGACTCAATCTAAGAAAAAAATTTAATCTTTAGTAACATAATATTTCTCTTACAAGAGTAATTTGGAATTACAGTGTTAATAAGAACTAGCAAAAATAATTGATCTCCCTAGAAATTCCTTTCCCTCATCCTCAGTCTCCCATCTTACCAACCTTATTTAGTGGCTTGCATCTAACATGATGGAAAATAAATTTGCAAATTTGGCATCTGGTTAAATTTCTAAATGAGGAAAACTCCCTTTTCTGACAGAGCAATTTTACCAGTTCTCTAGACTCAGAGTCCTAGAGCAAAACCACAGAATGAGGCTGCAGCATGGCTAAACAGAAAAAAGGTATTAGAAAAGGAAATGGACAAACAAGAAATCCTATGTGTAAAAAGAATATTTTTTTTCATTTTTCTTACAAATATTTTTTAATATTTGTAAGAAAAATGAAAGGGCTTCCTCCTCCTTTGTGAATCATTTTAACTGGAATGTATGGTGCCATTTCAAGTCCAGGGTCAGTCATCCTTACTTCTGTCAATGAGTCCCTTAATGCCTTAAATCCTACCAAAATTTAAAAATTCTAGTGGGGAATAAATTGCTACTGAGAATGAGGAAATTTATGGGCACAGGTTCCTTCTGAGTATAAAGCACATCAGTTTCTAATTACTTTCAACAAATTTAAATGAAGGAATTTTTATGTTAAACCTTTTTTTGATACTGTTGTTGAACACTTTCATATGGACTGACAGAGAAGTTGTTATTCTAAGTGAAGCACACTGAATTGAGTTATTTTGTGGAGGTACCTGACTGGTCCATCTCTTTAATCCGTACTTCTGGATCCCAGCAGTTCTCTTGAATAACTCTAAAAACCTTTCCATCCTTCATCATCTTTGCCTGTCCCTGTGAAATGACATTTTCATATATTATAAATGTGACAAAGTAGTACCTGCTAATTTATAGTGTCTTGATATATTGTGCTCCTTGCAGAAATTCAGTGGCAAAATTTTGATCTTTTATTTCTATTCAGTAGGTATCTTTAAACAGAAACTATTTTAAAAATACATATGAATAAAACAGTCATTTGTAGTTCTGATTTAATTCTTCGGAATTATAAAAAATCCCCTTCCTTCTGCAACATACATCACTGTATATTATTTGGAAGAGATACCAGAGGTACTTTAATCCAAGTTTATCCTGAAACCAAATTTTGACATCAAAACAATGCTCTAATTAAATCTGTGCTAAATTTTCCCCTTGGGTATGTGTGTGTTCTTTAAAAGTCAATAGCATCACAATGATTCCAGTAACTACAGAAATAATTGTGTAACACAGTTAATTTCAGTCCAGTGATTTCTTATCACCAGTGATACTGAGACAAAAGGAGAGCTATTTTGTTGTTGTTCAGATTATGTTTTCTCCTTGGTAAGAAAAGAAAAATTGAAGAATTTGGGGAAGAAAAGTCCCAAGCAAAACTTACACACAGTATAAACCCATGACCTAAAGTAGTGCAAAACCTTTCTCATATGCCACCAATTACCAGACTTAGGAAGTTCAAAATGTTATCACAGTCATGAAATTTGTTCCTTTATCAGCCTGGAAACTTTTGAAATGTCATATTTGTTTGATTTGTGAATTGTTCAAAGAGAGGCAGTGTCAAACATTAAGGAAATTGTCTGTTACAATTAGGGGTGCCCACCAGCTGCTACAGACTCACCAAGATTTCTGATGGCTGGCACAAATGGATGAGATACAATTCACCAACACCTGCAAGCCCTGAGTATTTCTTGGTTGTTTTAATCTATTGCAGGGGTTAATGGAAAGTCAGAGGATCCCCTAGTGCTGTGCTCGTGGGGTGGGTCAGTGCAGTCATGCAGCAGAGGCACTGGGCAGAAAACACACTCCATCTGCAGGTAAAAACTGAAAGCCACACAAGAAAACCCAGCAGCTATTCCTTCAGCTTCCCAGTAAACAGGAGCTGAGGGCTAGGAAGTCTTTGGGCCCTTCAAAAAAGAGATTTCTCTCTCTCTCCAAAGGCAATTTTATTTTTCCTCATAAAATTGGTCTTATTTAGGATCCTGTCAATTTTTCTAAAGAAAAGAACTTGTTAAATCAGAATATTTACTACTAGTGTGCTCATCTGGGGGGGACAAACCCCCTCTTCTGAGAACTCAAACTGTTGTTAACCTTGAATTTGTTACTACCTTCATACATCATTCACAAATATACTGTCCTAATGAATATTTTAAAGCCCTCCTCCACAAATCTAAGTGTGCTGCCTTGGCAACCTGTCAAGTTACTTGTTAGCTGTATCATGGGTTGTGAAAATTACTTGAAATACTACAACTACAGGGTCCTGATCCCCTGGTGAAATACTTCAGGGTCTTGTAAAACTGGTTTTCCAACCTGATGGAGAGGTTTATTGTAGCCATACACTCAAATCCATTAGGAAAAGTTCAGTGCATTGATACAAATTGTCCAATAAACAAAAAAATATTTGGTGTGAGAAAAAGACAGAGTAGAACCAAGCACTTTGACACATATGAATAGGTCACATGGACTTTACTGTTCCATTCTAGTCTATACTTCTCTACTTCATCCCATCCTAAAAATTATCTAATATTTAATGTTTTGATCGATGTATGTGGAGATTAAGAGAGAGAGACATTTAAAAATTAAGTCCTGCAGGCTGATTTGGTTCAGCAAACTACATTTAAAATCCTGTCCTCACTAAACTACTCAGTCACATCCCAAATTGCACTTTTAAAATATGCACGTAATTATTTTCTTCCAGTTTGACCCTGATGCTTCTTCAAAGAATTATAAGGGAGACCTTTGGGTTTTTTTTTAAATCTTAGGAGTTAACATCCCCAGTTCCACAAGTCTGAACAGGATTTTATTTTGCCATGCACTTTTTGTCACACAGAATTTCCAGACAGAAGTAAGCCGGATGGAATTCTTGGCAGAGCATGTAAGACCATTATTGACTTGCCACAAAGTTCCTCTGCAAACTATTTTTAGCACAGAATTTTAGCATCAGACCTGTAACAAAATCACCAGAAATGTGTCCAGTCCCTGTCTCCTTCCTGCAGCTGCCATGTATCCCAAAATCTGTGCCATCCATGCTTTGGTTTCGCAGGTGGCTTGTTCTTGTTTATTGAAATATCAGTCCCTTTTGGGTTTGCTTCTCATACAGATGCATCTAACTCAACCCAAATCTGTATGTAATCTGCTTTAGCCTGACCTATCTTGTTGGAAAGACTTTCTCAGAGCCATCCATTCCAAGTGTTAAAGTGAGATGATAAAGAAGAATGGATGCTGGTTCATACAAGAGAGTGTGAGTTTCATCTTCCAGGCAAAAGGTTCTGCTGAGGCATATTAGGACTTGGCCTGATACTACTGCATGGGAAACAGACCTCTAGAGAAACCTGTATCAAAGACAGAACCAATCTTATTGCCATTTTGCTTCTCAAGAGATCTCCTGTGAGTTTCTATTCCTGATGATGACACAAGATCAGCTCTGAGCACCAAAGAGCCCAAACCTTGCAGTGATGATCCAGCTGTACCCATCCACCGTATCCATACCTCTGCGGAGGAAAGAAGAGAAAACCAGGGATAGTTAGCTCTCTGCAGTAGTAATAATAATAACAATAATAACTGCAGTTCTTACAAAAATACCTCATTCAGGACAAACACTTACACGTGCTGAGCTTTGAGCCAGCGTAGCCTCACTGACGTCAGCAGAAGTGCTGAAGCGTAGCTGGACTGGACTAATGGTGTTTGTAGAGCTGGAATTTTAGTTTCCAGTTCAACAACATTCTTAAATAACTGCTTTAGAAATGTTTAAAGTTGCTTACTACATTGAGGTTCTAACTGAAATAATTTTGACACTGAAAATATTAAATTAAGCATCTGGCAGTATGAAAATTGAGACAACTTTCCAATCTGTGATCAGTTAATCATTAGCACAAAGACGCATTGATTCCACTTTTCAGCTTCCATGACTCAGCAGCAGGAGTGAAGGTCAGCCTCTCGTCTATTAATATTTAAACAGAGAAGAGAAGCTAAAAAGGAGAAGCTTAGATGCTCATTGATTCTTTAAGAGAGATTCAGAATTGTTCATGCAAAAAATGCAAAATCTACACAAGATGCTGATTTCCTTTTACTTTCATAAATTATCAATTAGAAAGGAATGAACTCTTGAAATCTCTGAGTGAAAACAATGCTCATAATTGCCATTTCTCCAAAAAAAAGAAACATTAAAAATGAAACTAAGTCAGAGCAGGCATTGGTTTTGCTGAAGTGTAAATGATTTGGACACAGGCCTGAATTTCCTGTGATACCAAATCATCACTTAGTGCCACTGTGAGCTCTCCTAATGTGGGTGTGAAGAGCCAAACCTCCTGACCTCAGCCAGAGATGCAGTCACTGAGGCTGTGTGCTCTGTGTAACTGTGCAACCATGTAAATTTTATTTAAATTTATACATTTAAAGGTTTATATACACGTAAAACTACTGAAATTTTGGGAAAGTTTAATGAGTGAGAACTAATGAGAATTTAAAACTAGATCCATGCTAATTGCAGTTGTAAGCTGAGCAGAAAACAAGTACCTGAAATGGGTACTGAAGGAGCCCACATGCAATAGAGAAACTCACTGGTTTTCAACTTATTTTATTCTTTCTTCCCCTCAGGTATTGTAGGTATTGACAGTCCATATCTGCCTTTTCTCTGATTTTCTATACTTGTGATATTTTCCTAGGCTGTTAAATCAGTATCCTGGCAATAGAATTTTCTAGTTTGAAGGTCCAGTATTTACAAAGCTGGAAACAAGAAAGAGAAGTTTAGCACTAAATAAATGTGTGCATGTTAAGATGCCTCATTGGTTTTCCTTGCATGATCTGTGTTAATGGCTTGAATTTCCAGAGGACTCCAGGGAATTCTGAGAGTTGTTTTCTACTCTGAGCCCATTAATAAACCATTGAATCGCTCAGAACAGAGGGGAAAAAACCTAGCAGGTGGAAATTAAATTTTAAAAATTTGGTATTTGCCTCTTTATCTCTGTTTAAAGAAATGCAGTGCTGGCCCACAGTGTCTAGCATTAGTGAATTTAGTCTTGATGTACATCTGTGAACATCAAGGAATTCCTGGGGTCATTTTATCTCAGTGAACTTATTGCCCTTTTAAAGTACTCACAGAAAAAAATATTTAATTAAAAAACCCCCAACATATAACATCAGAATGAAGGAATTCTATAGGTGTTTTTATGAAGTTATTGCACAAAGACAACAAAATCTGAAATGTGCAAAAGCAACCTGTCTTTCTAGTGTAGATATTTAAACTCCTATCCATTTAAAACAGACATAATTATTCTAAAAGTATCTGTATCCTCACCTACATTATGCAGTGTTTTTCATCAGGAGCTGTTATTATTACAAATAGAGTTTTCAAATAGATATTTATATAAAAACCTTGCTAGCCAAACAAGGAAACAAACATTCCTTTCCAGGAGGTTTTGTGCATAATGATGTTATTTTTCACAACTAATGAAGAAATAATCCTATGTATGTTTTCAGTGCCAGGTTTTCTCATGACTTTTTTTTTCTAATATGCTGTTTATATTTCCCAGCTGCTCTTTCTAATATTGACTGAAACTGGACTGCTTAAAATCACAGAAACCCAGAGCTAATAGATATGAAATCCTTTCAGATTGATTACATTAAAACCTAACTGACATTTTTCATTCTAAAATGCATTTCACAGGATCATGAAAAATATTGCGGACAAGAATAAATTTATGACACTGAATAATAACAACAACAACAATAACAACAACAACAACAACGAAAAGTTAACAGAAATTCACTTATACCTTCAGTGTTCTGACAACTGAGATTTTCTATTTTAAATACAACAGGCTACTTTTTTCCAGTAACTGAAAAAATAACATATATTAGTAAAATGATCATCATCAATTAGCTGTACTTAGAATGACCCCACTCCCACTGAAGTTAATGATTTCATGCCTGTGGGGATAATGATGTGAATGAATTTGTCTTACTTAACATTAATTTTGTCTAATATTTGATTATTTATTTTATTTGAAACAGAAATGAATATAATTTAGGAATGGAACAGAACAGCTCAGCTCTATTTTTATCAAGAAAGTGGAATTTTTACCTTATTATTCAAAAATTTGGTGTCTCAAAATACTCAAGAAAAACTTTAAGACTTGCTTCAGAATAAATAAAAAATGGGAAACAGAGCCCAATTTTACATCCCATTCTGACTGGACTCTTGCTTTTCAAAGTAGCGCAATACAAATATTTTATAGTTGGAAAAAAAACTCAAATTAGACAAAAACCTAGAGATATTTACCCCAGAACCCTTCATTCATTTTTCTTTCCAAAATCACATTGGTAGAAATGGTGGCTGATAACATAAGGCACTGAATATCTAAACTCTTATTACCTTTTTCAGGTCAGGCCATTCCTTAGGCAGAATGTGGCTATGAATATCAATTTTCATTTTTGACGTGCCAGAGGAGAAATACTCCTTCAGTGCTAATGTTTTGTGTGTCAGTGCTGCTATCCCTGCTGTCCCTGGGTCACAGGTTATTCACTTTGGCTGCTGTCCAGATCCACCTGCTGTCCTATCAGGGGAATGGGGTACAGTGGCCAACCAGGGAGCCTAATTCCAGAGGAGTGGCTCTTCAAAAGAACAAAGAATTTGAGCAGAACGTCCCGAGGGCAAAGGGAAAATACTTGAGCAGCTGACTGAGGGCAAAGGGAAAATACTATGAAGGCACTATGAAGGGATTTATTTTACACAGCATCTAAAATGTCAAAAATAAGTCAATAAAATTGAGTCAGTATAAATGTATTAAGCATGCTGACTTGAATTTCCTCCTTTCTCCCTCTTAGCTTGTGAAATTATTTGTAGAGGGCACATAATACACCCTTGGGAGAGTCAGACATCCTCATCTATTCTCCTTTTTTCTCTTGCATTTTCTTTAAAGTTATAGTAAACCCCCTCCAAAATACTGAATTTTAGCCAAATCTATGCTCTGCATTTTATATTCCCCCTCCTCATCATTGGTTCACTCAGGATATTTACACAAGCTACTGCATAATGGTGCACCATCTTGAGGTGCAGCATCAAGATGCCTCAATTATACAGTAATACATAGATGTATTTCAAATATAACAGATTCTGCATCCTAAGTTAAGCTTAACTGGAGCTATTTCAGATTTCCTGTGAAACTACATCTCATCTTTTGCCCTTTACTCAATTTAGAATTACACTTTGCTTAAGATACCCTTGCTCTTTATTTGTGCTGTATTTTTGTGCTGTAATTTATTCCCCCTGTAGTTTTATTTCAGTATATGTTACTCACACAACGTCCTCTTGTGAGTGTTTGTTAACACTCACATTCCCTGTTTAGTTTTTTTGGTGAAAAATGCTGATTTTTTTTTCCCCAAACACAAATGCTGTTGTGAGTCTTGCAACTTGAAATAAACCATCTTGAAAAATAAGCATATTGGCCCATTTTGTTTTATCCTTTCCTGACTTCTCTATTTTATTTGGGCTTCAAAAAAACCCCCAGACTCTTGTATTTCCCTACCTGTTCACTCATTAAGCAAGTTTGCTATGGATTTGGTCAGATAACTTTCATAGGAGTTATTTTTCATGTCAGCTTCTTGTGACAGGGTTGGTTGGTTGGTTGATCTTGTACTTCTCTGCAGCAAGAGCTCACTGAAGACTGAATGTTCCAAAGAAATAGGAAGCAGCAGTTTTGGGAAAGTATTCCCTAAATGAAGCAAGACAGGCAGCAATTTGCTTTAACAGATCAAAACCCTGGGATTGAAAACAGCAATAATTTCTGTCTCAAAACCAAACTCAATCTCTTCACGACCAGGCTGCCAGGTTAAGCAGCAAATTTGCTCTCCTGCTCCCAGATGTGACAGCAGCCACGCTGTGTGATGTGGCACTGCAGTGTCAGCCTGTTGACAGCACTGCTCCTGCATGGACCACAGCTGTCAAAGAGAGAAGCATTGATTCAGCTCTGGGAGCTCTGCATCATGATGGGAGGCAAACACTTAAAGTGAGACCTCCAGTGAAGAGATGTCTGGAAGACAATTCCCTGCTTAAGCATAGAAAGCAGAGTGAAGTGAGGGAGAGGGGCAGGGAGAGATTTGTGCACCTGGATAGTCCAAGACACCAAAAGTCTTCAGTCACCAAAGCTGCAGGATTCCATGCAGAGCTCAGCTGCATTTCTTCAACACTGAGCTTAATTCTCCTCAGCTCTAAAAAAAGCTGTAGTTGTTAGTTACTGCTCCCAAGACACAGCTTAGCTTGCAAACACTGTAGTACTCCCACGCTGCATTTCATTTGTCAAAACACATCATTTGGAATCCACACCAGTTGAAGGCAAAATGTGTGTCCATGTCACTTGATCAGAGGGCAGGGAGACATCTGTCTGTATGCAGCATGATCCATTGGGTCAGCAGCAGAAAGACCTTCACTGGTTGGGAACAAAAAGCTCTTCAGATACTCAGGCACCTAAGGTACTCTAAACTGGAAAACATGACTAACAACTCCTTCAAGGACAATCCAGCTAGAGACTGTTCAGCCAAGGCTGATTTCAGATACACACAAGCCTAGCAGATCTAGGGGTTTATTTCACTGTAGGGACAAGCACTAAAGTGAAAATGGTGTTAATTGGAGGTCAGTAAGTGCTCTTTTCCAAAGCTATTTAGCTGCTTTTCTGTAACAAGTGCAGAATCTGAGATTTGGAGTCTTCAGGGTGGAAATTCGGTGTTATGTTCTGGCTTTGCTTACCGGGGTGAAAAGTGTTTCTTTGTGTCAGTGGGAAAACTCTGACATCTTCAAAAGAGGCTGCATCAACAAACACTGGGAAGCTCTGCAGAGAGCTCTGCCACATCCATGCTCCAAGGCAGCCCATTTTCAATTAGGCTGAACAAAGACAAAAAGAGGCAAATTCAGGATGCTGATCTTAGAAAGGGCTAAAGTACTCGTGCCAGTTTTTCATACCTTCCATTTTGCATGCTCCTCTCTGACACCTGTTCTTGGAAGTGCACATTTGATTGTGCAAACTGGCTGTTTTACATATGTGCACAGAAAAACAAGTGGAAAACTCTTTGTGCTCAGTAGCTAAGATGAAGTACTTAAAGAATACGTTCCTTTCCAAATGAAATAAATGTTGAGCAGCACACTTATATTGGTTGCTTAGCAACAGGTTATCCTTTGGCTGTGCTGGGGACTGCATGGGTCCTCTGAGACTGCCATTACAGACCTGCTTGGAAATGTCAGATTTGGAAAGGATGCAAAAGTCAGTAATTCTATTTTTTTTTCCTGTGGTATCAAATAATTAAACCTCTCCTATTAAATTAGCCTGATCACAGAACTTAAACCTCTTCTGGGACTCCAAAGCACACAGACTTCAGTGGGAATGGTGTGGTCTGAGTTCTGCAGGGAAGAGCAGAGTGGTTATGGTTTCCCTCCTAATGAGGAATTACATTATGCAGTTCCCATGCAGCACTTTCCATGTGTAGCTCTCAAGTGCTATTTTTCTCAGGAAGACATTATTTCACCTAGCACAGCTACACCAGGAGGACATATCCAGCTACAGCTACACCAGTAAAGTCCTTAACCAAGATCTGTCCCACAGAGTGGGTGGTACTATGATTCCCTGTTCTCCAGTGCAATAGACCAAACACTCCAGTGTGGCTGCCCAAGCTCCTGGTGGCTCATAGAGCCAGCTGGACTGCCATGCCAGGGTTTCCTTTATGCACATTTACAGAATGCAAAAGGCACACACACCTCCAATCCACAGCCAGCTGAACCAGCTCAAGGTGGCAGCAGTGCAGGTGTACTCATCGTTAAATGCTGAAGAGCAGTAGATTTTTCACTTTGTTATTAAAAAGCCTTTCCAGAAACAAACAACTGTAAGAGCCTCTGTTTAGACAGCCATCAGAGCTGCTGCTGCTCTGTGTCTCGAGCCCGTTCAGCCTTGCAGAGCATTTGGGTTTTTAGCTCAGGTGTGGCACTGTACTGGTGCCTCTCTGATGCTTCCAAGGTCTCAGCTATTAACTCTGCACAGTGAAGCTTCACGGTTGCACAAGCTCAGGGTGATGCTCTCCAGGTGGGGAGACCTGCCACAGCCTTTTTGTGTCACTAAAATTTGTAGTGTAAAGGTGTCCAAGGTTGCTGATGCCTTTGGCAGCCCTGCACTGCTCTGTGACCACCGTCCTACAAGAGTTCTGATGAATCACACAGTGGTGAAAGCAAACACTGTCCTCTGCCAAATTCGTGACCATTACCATGTTCTCTGTACCTAAGTTAAGCCATTAAAAAAAATCCTCATTCCTAGAAATATTATATAGTTGAAATTCAACTGCTATTCTAAAAGAATAAAAGAAAATTATATGGCTAACCTTCAAATAACATAATTATTTTCTTAATACACTACAGTTGCAATCCTGCAATTTATACCTACCATGCATTTATCTTGCATAGAGATCTTCTACCAAAAATGTAAATTAAAGAGATATTTTCTAAAATGTCAGTATGAGAAAAATAGAACTTCATTTTTTTCCCCCATGATTAGACTCAAGTAAATAAAAAATATTTAAGCATGAACCAGGCCAAGGTTCACTCCTGGGCAATGGCAGCAACCAGATAGATTCCAGCAGCATAAACATGGGCCAGAAAGAACAGATGGAATGAAGCTTACAGATACCAAAAAGTCAAAATTTTCAAGTTAATACCCCATGGTAACATCTGAAATGGTTTCAACTATTTAGAAGACTGGTGCCTAAAACAAATAAATAGTAAGTCCTGCTGTATCTTGTCTCAACAACTTTTTTTTCCTGTGTGCTAGATAGTCAAATCCTCTCTTTTCCCTCTTTGCAGAGGCCTCTCTGTGCCACTCCTTGGGCACATCTGAATTCTGGGGACAAGGAGAGTGTTCTCAGAGCCTTCACTGCTTCAAAGAGCAAGGGAGTGCCAAAGCACAGACCTCTCCAGCTCTGCAGATGTTTTCGATGTAAATGTTTGGGGTTTTGTGCTGCAGTTACATTTATTCATTCATCTGGAGGGGGGAGTTTGGCAGAGGAATTCCTCCACAGAACATTTTTGGAGCCTACTTTCACTAGCTGAGTCCATCTACAAACAGGCAGGTATTGCCTTTTGTTTTTTTATTCTGACATTAGGAATTTAATAACACCCTCTGAGGATGAGCCACCTTCTTCACAATTACTAAAATAGATCCACGACTTCCTGACTGTGTTTAAATGCGCTTTACTTATTTGATGTTTTTTGTTTTATTTGCTAAAAAAGATTAAGAAATTGGCACTTTCTTGGTCACAACTACAGCCAAGACTGTATTGCAGATACACCAAAACATCTGTGTTAATTTCTGTGTGTGAAGATCAGAAAAAAAGCTGCTCCTAAATAAGGTCTATTTTTCCCTTCAGGATCTTGCCACTCATCTCCATCTAATGTTT